TTTAATTTTTCCATCACCTTTTATCCCCTCCCTTCCCTCTTCCACCTTTGAGCTTTACTGTATAAACACCACCATTTTCCATATTGTTACCGTCCCCCTTGGCTTCCCAGGGTAACAGGATTCCTCTCTGAAGCTCCTGACAAGCACATTCCCTTTCTGACCCGGGTGTTCCCTGTACACGCAGATGGGCCAGTACCGGGACTTTGCTGTCCCTGCTAGAACCTCTCAGGTTTGGGACAGTCCTTCAGGTCAAGTACAGGAGGCCCGGTTGAATTTAGATAAAGGACAGAAATATCTTTAGGAGAGGTCCCATGCAATATTAGGGATATACTTCCCCTCCCCCCAAATTATTAGGTGTTTATCTGAAATTCAGGTTTCACTGGGTTCTCTCTCTCTCTTTCTCTCTCTCTCTCTATATATATATTTTTATTATTATTATTATTTTTTAATTCTCACCCAAGGGTATTTTTTCCATTGCTTTTTCAGAGAGAGTGGAAGGGAGAGGGAGAGAAACATTAATGTGAGAGAGACACATCAATGGTTGCCTCCCGTATGCGCCCAGCCAACCGAGGTTCATGCCCTTGGCCGGAATCGAACCCAGGACCCTTCAGTCTGTGGGTCGATGCTCTAACCACTGAACAGAACTGACTAGGGCTGGGCATCTTATGTTTTTAGTCGCCAAGTGTGCCGGCGCTGTTTCGACAAAGTGGCCTTAAGTTAGGTTTGAAATTTGTTTGTCTGCTAAGTAGATATCTCAAGGGGGTCTGGTTTGCTTGTCGCTGTGAGAGGACGTCACAGGGACCACTGTGCGTGGACTGGGTGGTCAGGGACCTTGAGAGCGAGACCCCAGGGTGCCTGTCTGCACACAGCGTCCCCGGAGCCGGCCCCCTCGCCCCTCAGAGCAGGTGGGGTGGCACAGCCCCCCGGGGTGCGCTCCCAGTGTTTGCATGACCCGCCTTCAGGCAGATGATTGAGTACCAGCGTTCGCATTCGTAATGGGCAGTCATGACTCATTTATTTACAAGTGGATCTTCCAGATGAGAAGGTTTCATAATTTAAGCAAACTCTGAGACCTTCTGAAGTTTACGCGGAGGTACTGAGTGAGGAATTTGCGCCTGCCTGTGATAAACACGTTGGCGAGCTCTGGGAGACGTGAGGCGCTGGCCCCGGAGGGAACAGGCAGATCTGTGGAACTGACGGGCAGATAGAACAGGAACAGACGCCCGCGTGAACGGATTATATCGTGTGATAAGTGACCCTCCGGAGCAGGCCGAGGGGAAGGTTGCGCCATAAGCGGCTGGGAGAACTGGTCGGCGAGGCGGGGCAGGGGGCTGGCGTGGTGGCATTGCCTCGTCCTGTCCACCCCAGTCCACGTCAGACGGACGGGAGCACAGCACACAAATCGGACGAAAAATCAGAACAAGACGTAAACGGATGTTTTCCAGTCATCTTGACGGCGGGGGGAGGCCATGGTCGAGCTTAAAAGACGAACCCCCCAAAGAAGTCCAGTAAACGTGACTCCGTTGACTGAAACCCCTGAGAGTCAAACATAATGAGACCTAAAGGCGAACAGGATGGGACAGCGCTTGCGACAAATACGACCAAACTGGGTTTCCCGCCTCATAGGGGGCTCATCCTGGGGGACGTAGGGAGCATTTTGGGGGTGCTCACTCCCCACGTTAAGCCCGTGCTTCTCACTGTGGGCACAGACCCTCCAAGGAGCCCCTCTGGGGTCATTGGCCCCATTTTACCCACAGCCAGTGACGGAAGGAGCCCAGACCCTGAGGCGTGGGCTGCGGCCCCTCACAGACGGGCCCAGGGATCAGAGGAGAGCCCAAGGGAACCAAGAGCCAACAGGCAAATGATAAAATGTCCAACCTCGGAATGTGAGACCTGCCTGGGAAAACCAGGGAGAGGCAAGGAAAAAATTCCAGGGACATCAGGCGACCCACTGCCACCTCGGGTGGCAGGAAACGCCGTTCCCGTCGGGGCGGCCCGGCGAGCCCTGGAGACCTCACAGTGTGCGTCTGGACTCTTAGAAACGCGAGGCGGCCTTGGCCTGCCATCCTACTTCCAGGGATCCCGGGCCGGTAACTGGAAACTAGGACAAGACTGACGCTCCCTGAAGTTCGCGAAAGACCAAAGGTGTCGACTGGACAGCGTGGGATCTGAAGAATAGCTACCAAGGTTTTAAATTAACCTCTCCTGGTGTTTGTTGCGGGGAAAACACGAAACAGCGCCGGGCCCACAAGGATGCGGAGTCGCCCTCCTGTCGCAGGGTTTCGGCTCATTTTTGTTTTACGTCTGCCCTTTATTTCCAGAAATGTAAACAGGTTGCTTTAGAATTCGGAAAAGCGGGAACTATTTCTCTCGATGGGTGGAGAAGCATGGGCTGTGGGCCTGCGGGAGCTGGGCGGGGAAGGTCCCGCGGAGGAACCCGCTGGATTTGGGGGCTGCGAGGAGCTGCCTCCCCCACCGTCGTGGGTGGGGCTCTCCTCCCAGACCCCACGTCCTCCAAACCCACCCCTCTCCTCTTCCCTCGTCAAACACAACGTCTGGACAGCCTGTGTCCCCGGTGGGGTCTCGTTGAAGGAACCAAGTACACGTGCCCTTGGGGGAGGGCCCCGAAGAGGAGTGGGGTGCCGATGGAGAGGCCTGGAGCCCCGGGGCGTTTCAGAAAGCTCGGTGAAAGTGCCGTGGTACATGTCACGTCGCCACAGTGCCATTTTTTATCAGGATCACTTGTGACCCTCACGTGGCTCAAATATATCATATACACTCTCCATAAATACTTCAGACGTGCGCACACGTAGACTCACACACGTGTGCATCTGTGTGTTTTTCCTCTGAAGGAACAGACTCAACTGACAGGACCAGAGTCAAGAGGCTCTTTTCCATCTTTTTTTTCTGGACACTTTTTAATGCCTAAATTTTCACGATGAGCAACTACGACGCCTATGATCAAAAATATAAAGGAAGCTGTTTCTTTTGAAGGTGGGCAAAAGGGGAGAGGGAAGTGGAAGCGGCTCCGGCAGCTCAGGGCTGTGTTTGGTTTCCCCCGATTTGCCGGAGGAAGCTGTGGATCCGCTGTGTCTCCCCAGGGGGCAAGTGTCTCCTCTCTTCCTCCAAGGCCCCCACCAGCCCCACGTCCGTTTACCCGCAGGTGGTGGTCTCACGCGGAGGCGAGTTATCACTGTTCCTTTCTACACCCGAGCAGGCGAAGGCGCCGGACACAGAATCCGATCCCTGGGGACCGTGTCGTCGAGAAAGCGTCTTGTCAGAATAACCGTGCCTTTTCTTGAGTCTCTTGGGCGTCTTAGGTGGGTAGGAGCGTGGGCTCTGAGGCCGGCTGCCTGGGTGCCCACTCCAGGGCTCACCCCTCACCGGCCGGGTGGCAGCTGGGTGGACAGAACCGTCCTGTACCTTAGTGTCCCCGTCGGTGCCGTGGGGAATAGTCCATCTGTGGCAGGTTCCTTTGCATGGGCCGGGGGTGGGGGTTGCTGAAGGTACCTTTGTGGTCTGTTCAATGACATTGTCGACATAGAGACACCCAGATCGGTAGAGAATTTTTATGATCTTGTTCGAGCCAAACTGGCAATAACTGCCAGGAAGCAGAATCTCAGTGGATTGAGGAAATGCTCCTGAGAAGGGCAGTTTTACGGCTTATTTTATACATGAGATGAAAGTAGGAGACGTAAGTGGGTGTTGCACGAAATCCGTCGGTGGTAGGTTCGGGGGGCGGGAGAAAGCCAGACAGGGGGTGGAGGGGAACCTGGGGCGAGATGAAAAGACAACCTGGAGAGACACGTGCCTCTTTGACACTGGTGTGCACAGGAGAGGAACAGTTGCAGCAAATGGAGATGGTATTCAGGAGACCAGATAACAATGAGGGGTTCTGTGGCCTCGCGCTCTGGTGCCGGAGGTTTTGCCCCGAGAGGCCTGGCGAAGAAGAGTTCTCTGACATTTTTTTAAAGGTATGTTATGTTATCTCAGACGCACAGAGACAGCGGGCAGTTTCAGAGGTAAACGTTGACCTTTGTCAAGGAAGCCACCGACCTGGGACGTGACCACCTGCCGTGACCTGCTCCTGGTTAGGGACCTCGATGACCATCCTGTGTGTGGCCACTTTCGCTCTCTGAGCTCTTAGGGCCCACCCTGCAGGGCCCCCCCTGGGCTTGTCGGGTTCAGCATAGGACCCCCTTTTTGTCCACACCCGTAGTATTAGTATAAATGGTAGATTTTCCTTGCATAGCTTATGCTTTGGGCGAAGTTCTAAGACCTTTCTAATTACAGAGGTATTAGTGTATATTGTAAAAATGCCAAAGATTTCTTAAATCCGTGAGAGAAAATTGGTCTCCCCCCTCACGTCCCCCCCCTTCCCCAAATTAATCCCTGCTAATCTGTTGTCAATAAGAAAAGGCCCATTTCATTCTCTTACATTTTGACGTATCTTTATTGGCTTCGTTATAATCCCACCAGGATGTTTCTTCTAGAGTTGTGGGCTTGGTCGTCTACTGCCTCCTCCTCGCCCTGATATCTAAAAAAAATGCCACTGAGCTCCCGATGCTTCCAGAGGGGGCCCCAGTGGGCAAGCGTCCTCTGGATGCCGGGGACCAGGTAGCAGGCGCCTGGGCCCCGAGGACCAGTCATTGTCAGGGAAAATGCACGTGCTCCGTGGAATGCTAATTGTGTATATCCGTTGCCCAAGTCCAGCCGTTGACCATAATTCTTCTTGAATTGCTAGTCAGAGGAGGCCATTGAAGTCCAAAAAAACAGGAGTGGCTTTTCCTCTCCCTCCCTTGCCAAGCAGGGCGCACTTTTATTCATGACGAATGTCCCTCTTGCGGCGAATTTGAAAGAACTCTCCATGAGAAGTTAAAGAGCGAAGCGGTGGGAAGGGAGTGGGGAGGTGAGGGAGAAATGAAACGCTGGGGGTGGAGGGTGCCGGCGAGTGTGCAGTGTGTCCTCTGACCTGAGCCCTCTGCCCCTGTCTCCTGCAGGAGCAGGAGGAGCAGCCGTCTCCTCAGAGCCCTCCGGGCCCACCGGCACCGGGCCCCCAGGCCCAGTCTGACCAGCGTGCGCAGCGCCCAGGTAAGGACCCAGAACCCCGGGGACACCCGTGCCACTCGCCCAACTCCAGCTCTGCGAGGATGCCAGCGAGGGCTTTGTGTTCTAAGAAATTGACCTTCTTATGAATAGAAGATCCTCACCTATTTCCCCTTGAGGGAAACCAAATTCTAAAAAGGAGAGACGCGCCTGGTTGTGGATCTTCAGTAGAGTTCCTTTTGGCGCACCGACCCCAGTGAGCACAAGTTCAGAATCGGTTTCACGTGGCCGTCCCGGGATCCCACCTAAAGGCCCCTCTCCACCTTTCTCTGGTTCTCTCTGCTCTTTCTAGCTAATTCCTGCTGGGGTCCTGGTGGGAAAGAAAAGAATAGCACCGGAAGGGTCAGGGGTTAGGAAATTAGCTCCGCAGAATGCAGGCGCCGACGGTGGACGGGAGCCCGGGGAGGGGGAGCTGGTCACGAGACGGAACAGGCCGGATGAGCGGGCCCATTGTTCGGACGAGAGGATTGGAGAGCTTAAGGACGAGAGACGGAAGGATCGGGACTGGTAGGAATGAGAATAATTAGATTTTTAAAAATTGCCTGATGAGAAAGAGGGCGACATTTAGCAGAAACGAACGCGGGGATGAGCCCGCGTCAGAGGGCTCTGCTCAGGTGCCGGAGACGGCGCTTCTGTCAGCGCGCAGGGTTTTGGTCGAGCATAGTTGGAGGGTCATCCTTGAGGAGCCTGTCCAGCGAGATGATGTCAGGGAAACAGCACCGTTTGTTAACATTGGCCTCGAAACCTAGGAAATTCGTAATTCATGGCATTTTGCTGCTTACAAATGGTCTCGTTTAAACGAAAATAATCTAAGTCTCGGGCGGTGTTAACATCCATATGAAATCTATGTTAATACTTGAATCAGGAAGTTAGAAAAAAGTATACCCAAAGAACTTTTTATTTTTATTTTATTTTTTAAAATCCCCACCCAAGGATATTTTTCCCATTGCTTTTCAGAGAGAGAGGAAGAGAGAGGGGGAGAGAGAGAGAAGCATCGATGTGAGAGACACATCGATTGCTTGCCTCCCGCACTCGCCCCAACCAGGGCTGGGGATCGAGCCTGCAGCCCAGTGCCCTTGGCTCGAATCGAACCCAGGACCCTTCGGTCCACAGGCTGACTCTCTAACCACTGAGCCAAACTGGCCAGGGCACTGAAAGAACTTTTCAAGGCGTCTAGAACTCTCCTCCTGTGTCTCTAAGTTGGACGTTCACATGCCGCATAGATGTCACACCTACTCAGGTGTCAGGGGAATCCGTGGCACAGAGGGGGGCCGGCTGCGTGGGGAGGAGAGCTAGCTGTTCCCCGGTCAGGGCTGCCCAGCAGGCGGCTGAAGCCAGCATCTGACGTCCCAGCGCCTGAAGCAGGGCCTGCAGAGCAAACCAACCTGTCTCGTGTGGAACCCAGCTTCCCGGGGAGTCCACACCATTAGGCACACCCAGGACACTGACCTCCTTCCCCCCAGTCCCCGCTAGTTCCGCACGCACAGCATATAAAACAGGAAGCGCAAAGGGCTCGGCCGGGTTCGGACACAGGCCACAGCAGGTCCAAAAGCAGCAGCGATGGGTGGCAGTCAGGGTCCCAGGGGACACGAGGGCCCCGGCCATTGCAGAGAGGCGGCGGCTGGGGTGCGGGGCCCCTGCTCCTGCAGGACCCCAGAAACAGTGCGTGCGAGCCCATGGCCAGGCAGCCACCCCACCGCCACATGGAAAACGGAGCCCGGCCCCCCACACGAGCCTGCAGACCCCCATTCCCAGCATGTGGATCTTCCTCCCACTAAGAAACACGGTAGCAGAGCCCACAGGTGCCGGTTTCCCCAGCAGTGGAGGTAAATCTAAGGGAGTATTTGTCACGCGTAGGGACGTGAGTGACAGATCGTGTCTGTAGCAGAGGACAGGAAACTAGGAAACACAGTGGGAAGAGCTGACAGGAGGATCGGTGGGTGTGAGATTCAGGAAATGAACTATATAGCTATTGGCATTTAAAAAAATTCGGTCTAAAGAGAATTCACAAGCCGGAGTCTGCCCCCCTACGTCACAGAGAGACATGGAAACGGGCACAGGCCGCTGGGCGCAGACAGGGAGACAGCCTTGCGGAGGGGAGGGAGGAGGGCATGGTGGGGGGAGGAAGGCAGCAGGCGTGGCGGGGAGGCCCTTAGAGGTGCCAGCTGAGGATGGGCCAGCGCTGAGTGGGCACTGGCCCCACGCTGGACTCAAAGGACTGAAATGAAAAAGGAAGGCGAATTCCCATCTCAGGGCATTTAGCACTGTTCCGGAAAATGGAAAACACAGAGACCATCCGAAGGGAAAAGCCAGATTTTCCATGAAGGGCACTGCCTTTGGCCTGAAAGGGGCCTTGGGCACAGTAAGGGCCAGAAGGGAGCGCAGGATTCTCAACATCCGGGGCGGGGGGGGGAAGCTTCCCCTAGAATTATATACCAGCAGTGTGTGGGAGCAAAGTAAAGCTTTTTTTTTGGACCCAAATTGAGAAAGATGGTTACTGGCCATCCTCACGAACGGAGTTATTAGAAGCCGTAGTTCAGGACCAGGAAGGAGAATACACACAGGGAGGGTGCAGCGTCGCAGTTTGACTCCACGTGAGTTGTTAAAATGAGGCTCAGCTAGAACTCGGGGTGATCGGACATTGGGAACGTGTGTGTCTTTTGAAAGCGGGGTTTGCCCGGTGAGCGGTTAAGTCGTAGCAGGACCCCAGTGAGAAGCAGAACGTGAAAGAACTTGGGACTTCATTGGGGAAAAGAGAGCTCAGTTATGCATGTTGAAAGGTAACGCGTAACTGAAGCATTGACTGTAATTACTGAAAGGGTACGTGTGTCGTCTGAGTTTCAGACCTGGCGGAAAGAAACAGAAGGGGATCTATATTTAATAAAAACAGCCCACATCGAGCAGGAAAGGAAGAAGCACAAGATGGGGGGCGGGGGGAGAGGTCAAACAGAAAATACAAAATAAGACTCCAGGAGTAGCTCCAAGGAGATCCGGAACAGGTCACCAGGCTTGAAACCCCGGACGCACGTAGAACCTGCCCCCAGCCCACGGGCTCTTGATTCTTCTCTGAAATCTGTGTAATTTTTTTTAAAAAAGTTGACCATATATGGAAAGTTGCGCTAAATTTTAAGCAATCTGTGTCATGCAAGCCACGGTCTTTCACCCAGTGTGATTAACTCAGAAGTCAACAGGAGACGTTCAGTCACCAGGCTCTAGCACACACCCAGCTCGCCGCGCAGGGCCCAGAGACCTTCACGGCGAGAACACCAGCGGCTCAGAGCCGAGCGAAGCCGAACGTGCCGCGGGCTGACGTATTGCGCCGCCGGAAGGCGTTCAAGGCTGAATGTCTAAGCTTCTAGAGAAAGAAAGATTGAAATGAGAAGAATAAGGGTTGAGTAGCTTCTCAGCAGTGCAGAAGGAAGTCCTTAGGAAAACTAAGATCGGAAACGACCGAAAGCCCAGGGACCGAATCGATCGACAGGAACGCACCCGAAAGCCGGTCTCGCAAAACCTCCCAAGACAGCAGCACCCCTCTAGCGCAGGCAGCGGGGAGCAAGACGGACGCGGGAGACTGCGGGAGGGGCGGGGCGGGGAGCTCGAGCCCGGAAACGCAGAAACCCGAGCAACTTTAGGCCGGGAGCGTGAGGGTAGAAGGGAAATGGACTGTGGACGGCGAAAATACAGAGTCAAAATTGCAACCCCCGGTGCTGGCGGGACCTCTCACTCGTGGCTGGCGGGGACGTGGAGCGGCGGGACCTCTCACTCGTGGCTGGCGGGGACGTGG